TCATTAAAAATGGCATTTAAGGAGCAAACTAAGGAAGAGAAGAGACAATTAAGAGCATTACTTTCCATGATAATCCCTTCTGTACTATCTTTAAAAAACTGTAAGTATGTATTTATCCAAAATAAGTACAAATAAGTTGAAAATTAAGCGGAATAAAGGAAATTTGGAAATAAAAAATTAATGTTAATTCTAAAAAGAAAAAAAATTCAAGCACTTATTTATATGTACTAAATTTCTTGGACAAAGGGAGAATATTGTTGCTAAGGAGACTAAAGCAACTGTTGAGCAGCTCTTCACAACAACAAAATCCAAAACAGTTTATTCTATAGTATCTTATATCCTCTAGCTTTACAAAAGCCAATAAAATGATTTAATGAGGTCCTTGAAACTCGGTTATGATATCACTAACATTTACTGAATATTCAATTTATAAAGTCTATTACAGTGATAAGAAGACTAAAGTAAAAAGTCACATGACAGGTTCTAGTTCCAAATCTTCCACTTAAAGGTCATTTCTTCTTGAGTAAATCATTTTCCTTTTCTGAACCTATTTCTTTACTTGTAAAAATGAGGATAACTACCACATTCCTACCATATAGGGTTGCTGTATCAAATGAGATTTAGATCACTGTACAAAGATTGAAACAAGTAAATTCTAGGAATAAGCACAAACATTTCCCAAAGTTCATAAGGCCAATATGTATTCTATACTCTTCATTGATTGAGTGCTAAATTGAGTAAAGTATTAGAAAAATGTGAACAAAAAGGCTATATAAACTAGTATTATAAAATTGTATTGAAATAGTAGAAAATTCAGTTCAGGTTCCACAAGGGATGATTTCTACAACTTTCTTGGGTCTCTATACAATAAAATTGAACTAGACCCACTTTGCAGAGGTGCTTCATAGGTCTATTTTCCATCATACAATAATGATTTAAAAGGGAATTCATCCTCTTTTTACCTGGGCTACAGTTTGGCTGAAAAACCTTCTATTGTTAGATGTTTGAAAATCATTGGCTTGTACCAAAGTCTTTTGTTTTCAAGCTTTTGATAAGCTTAACCTATCTTCAACTGTGAAGTCAACTCTTTCTCAATGCAGACCTACTTTCTTCAGACCAGTACTCTACTCACTATTTCTTAAAATTCAACAGTCATTTTCTGCCTCCACATTGTTGTCAATATATAGGAAGTTCAACACCTTTGTTGTTGCTACTACAGCTGGATGAGCAGCTCTGCCCAGTGTCTTAGTCCATTCCCTACCCATCTACCCACCCAAGCTTTGACAGTGCTTAATATACAGCATATAAAACCACTATTAGTTAAAATTCATGATGGATCAGAAACAGGAGAGTTATCATGTTAAAGAAAACCTAGTTTCTAGGTAAGAATGGCATGCCTGTAATTTGACAATACATGAAAGCACTGAAGAAAGAAGTGGGGAGGAGATAGAAGCTTTAGCCCTAGAACACAAGAGGGAGAGTACTCTGGTGGAAGAGTTATCTGTGCACTGCCTGGAGGAAGAACACCTTGATCCATGGACTTATTGGGTTCTAGTGGTAGGGTTGTCCCATCGTGAAGATGGATGCATTTACTTGTTATAGGCTGATGCTGTTAAATTTTTACATCATATATCTGACCTCCTGTTATTTGGTTTCACAATCACCAAAAACCTTCTTTTTTCTTTTACTTCCCTTTGGATCTATAAAATGCCCTAGCTAGAAACAAATCCACTTAGCTATTAGATCTGTACCATAAATTAATTAAAAGGCATTCTTAAATAGAACATCAGTTTCTGTGACTTTGAGTATGATGAGTCCATACTGAGACAGGGTATGCTTAACATATTGGACTGAAGGCCTGGGAACTGGGAGGTAAGACCTTAGACTGGTAAATGTACCAACAAAAAGTTACCCCATGAGAACTACATGGGAAACCCTACATTGCCCCCAATAAACCCTGTCTTTTTGCACTATTTTTAAAACTTACATACACTTTATTTGTTCAAAGCCACTAAACACATACTAAAGCCCTGCTATGATCTGTTCTTTACACTTTTCCAAAAATCTATGTACCCTGAGCTATAACAGAAACAAATGTGCTAACTACGTGCATTAAAGTTCCAATCTCTCTGCTTGTCATAGTCCTCTCTACCTTAACAAGTCTAAATCTTAACTAATTCTGAAAGTTCAACACAAGTAACTTTCTTTCATGAAGATATTTTAAAGTACCACCAAGGCTAAAATTAGTAATTTTGGTGGCCAAGGTAAATAGCAAATTGCCCTCAGTTTATAACTTATCACATACCATTATAGTCATTAACAATCAGCACTATTTGGTAGGTTCCTTTTTTAACAAAATAGGTATTAATCAGGTGTTAAATTCATTTTCCCTATATTAAAAGACTATGTGTGCTATCAACAATTAATGGAATAAATGTTAAAAATCTGATTTATTATTTTACATTTCTGTCCTCTAAATTTCAGTGCTCTGGGACTTAACCTAGCTTACTTACAATATCCATCTACAGTATATACATTTTTGTTTCCCAATTAAAATATTTTCTCCATTAAAAAAGGGATCATGATCACACATATAATGATAAATGAAGGGCCTTCTAATACTATATGGATACTCTTAAGAATTATTTCATATGAATATAAAGAAGTTAAGAGGCCTCCTATCTCATTCATAGCAGTTTTTCCAAAATAATTTGGTGTTTCAAAAAACAAAAGATATTGGGCTGGGGATGTGGCTCAAGCGGTAGCGCGCTCGCCTGGCATGCGTGTGGCCCGGGTTCGATCCTCAGCACCACATACAAACAAAGATGTTGTGTCGGCCGAAAACTAAAAAAATAAAATAAAATAAATATTAAAAAATTCTCTCTCTCTCTCTCTCTCTCACTCTCTCTTAAAAAAAAAAGATAATAATGTGGTTGGATTCTTCAGGATCACGAATCATTTGGTTTATCATTTGGTTTTACCATAGCTTCCAAGTGATGGGAGGTACCATATCTGAAAATGTATGTTTGTGTTTGTTGTAATTTTTTCCCATTTTGTGAACAAAGAACATTTATAAAAATTTAAAATTAAAAAAATGAATCATTAAGATATTTATTATTTCTATTAAATAATTAATAAAAGTATTTAAATCTATTCTTGCTAAGGGCAATTATTATTTGCTCCCTGCATTATATTTGTTAGCCTTTGTTTCATCTTTCCTTCTATATTCTCTGAAGGTCTGATTCATGTCTGTCTAATCTTTCTATCTCCTATAGGTTTTCAGTCAGTTCCTTTTATGTAGAGGGCACTTTCAAATAAATTAAGACTTTCTATTCCACTTTCAATGAAAGCATTCCTTATTCTTTTTATATGTATTCTATCTTCTTATAAAGTATCCTTGACCATCCCAATCCACAGTTCACTCCCACTTTTGAATTTCTATGAAAACTAGATATCTGTAAACTATTTAATTGCCACCAAAATTATTCTAGTCTTGTGTTATTATGTACAATTTATAGTTTTTAAATATTTCAACATATCTCCACAGTATCTAGGCATAGCATGGGCAATTAATGAATGTTAATCATTCAACCAGTCTTTTACAAATTAATCAGGACATTGATTAGGGAAAATATAGTCAAAATAGGTACCAAAAGACAAAGCCTTGCTACTCCAAATGTGGTCCACAAATCAGCATCACTGGTATTACCTGGAGGCTCACTCTGAGGCAGCCTCACAGACTCCACCCCTGATCTCTGAATCAGAACCTGCATTTAAAGACCTTGAAGATGATCTATAAGCAATTTACATTTGAGAAGCACTGGTTTAGACTCCAGAAAAATCAGAATGGCCAAGATGCACATGACCACTTAATGCCCAATACCTCATCATAATAGCTTATCTGCTGGTTATCCCTATCCGTTGACAGCTTATTGAAGACAGGAAGCCTTTCTATATTCCTCACCACTAGTATTTCTTGGCCCTAATAGGGCCTAGAACTTGGATCTGATGATTCAAATGCTCAGGGTTTTTGTTTGTTTGTTTGTTTTTACTGAATGAATGATTGAACAAAGTAAAAATAAACTTTTTTCAGAAATCTTGTCCTTTAGAAATTCTTTTGTACAACATGATTTCACATACTGCCATGCAAATCCCCTAATTCAGTATTATTAATTCAATTTTAAATGTGTTGCCTTCTCTGCTTCAACAAATGTATTTTTTTTATGCACCTGACAAAGCAAAAGCTTGGTTTATCATCCTCCCTTACAGTCTCCAATGGCTTCTATTACAAGTGAGACAGCTGTATTTTTTTATTTCTGCGTTCATGAATCCATTCCATATGCCTGCACAAGAAGAGGGGGAGAGCAGAGGAGGGGGTAAACCAAAAACAATTTCATATCAGGAATATCATATGAAACCTAGAAAACACCATATTTTGAACAGGATACTTCCAGAAAACAAAGGCCAGCAAGGGAAAGAATATAAGAGTTAAGAGAGTCTTTTCTTTTACCAAGAGCAAAAGGTGATACGATAGAATACAAGGGAGTGTATAAAGACCAGCGACTACCTAGTGACAGAAGATGGAAACACACTAGACCAGCACTAAAGCGGAGAGAGGTTGGAAACCTCCAGGGATGCCTGAAACCACTTGCAGGTTTGCAGAGAAGGAAGTTAAGAGAGAAACGAGGAAAGAAACAGCTCTGTGAAGGATATAACTTACGATGATGATTATTTTTGAGAATGAGAGATGACACGCACTGAAGGGAGGAAAACGAGGGGTTTGCAATTTAGCGCACCGCAAAAGGAAGCGACTGCGGATGCCCCCGACCAGCCCAGACCACCCGAGGAACGCAGCCGAAGCTTAAGTGGGTGGCAACGCCCGGCTCCCTGGGCCATCTCCTCGGAAGCCCGTGGAGCCCTGGATGGCACTGGAAAGGGAGGACTGTGCGTGGGAGGGTGTGCAGGAAGAGGGGTTGGATGACGGTTGAGCAGGTACCTACCTTATCCCAACGGAGCCACTGCGCGATAGCCGTGTCTAGCTGAGGGTCGCCGGTGCGGTAGGGGGCGTGGAGCAGGTTGGAGTTCAGGTCTCCCTCTGCGTTTTCAGCCATGTCAGCGAGACGTGGATATGCGGGCCTGAGCGGCCGGCCAAGACACCCAACTGGGAACCTGGATGTGCTCACCAGGGTCCGGACTCCCCCTCCTCACTGAAGGGCATCGGAGACCAGCTGCAGCGTGTTAGTGCCACCTCCTGTCGTAGCTCTAGAAAACCGAGAGAGAGGGCGGATACCGCCGCCCGCGCCCCGGCTGACCAGGTCCGGGTCTCTGGGTGATCTGACTGAGGCGGGCGTGCGCCGAGAGAACAACAACAGTCCCAGATGTCTGGGTCGTGGCCGCAGCCGCCGCCGCCGCCGCCGCCCTCGCCGCCTCAGGCCCCGCCCCCGCGCCGTCCGCCCCGCCCCTTCCCGCTCCCGCTGATTTGAGTCCCCGAGGCAGAGGCGCGAGCCCCGGAGCGCGTCCTCGACGTCTCCGCAGCCGCGCGAATTTACGGTCCGCTGGGGTAGCGAGGAAAGGGTGCACGGCTCTATTTTTAAACTTGCCTTTTGCCAGGAGTCTTATCCTGGCTACCATCCCCACAGTCCTATGCGTTTCCTTTGTTCTATGTGCTGTCAAGTCCCCCCCCCCCCCCCCCGCGAAGTAGCCAGCCTCAGCGATTTCTTTCTAGTGCGCCCCCAACACCCGCTTCCAGGTTTGTCTGGGGTACGCGCCTGGTGGGGCGGCGCGGGCTGCCCCGCGCGGCCTCACGGGAGAGGTAGTTTTTCCTTTCCGGCGCTCTGCGAAGACCGCCAGACAGCTCGCAGGAGCCCGCGCTCTCCCTTTCCGCAGAGGAATAAACTCTGCCTCGAGTTTGTGCCCTGTCAACATGCCCTGTGCCTGTTATGGTTTGTGGCGTTAAGTTAAACAAGGAGTGGCATAGTAAGGCAGCAACGAGTGTCCATTTATCCATTTATTGAGGCGCGTTCTGCCCCTCCAGCCATCCTGTGAGGTGGGTGGGCGTGATCCATCCCCGTGTACACACAAAGAGGAAACTGAGAGGTGAAAAGAATTTTCTAAGAAGCAGTGTTTTGTTCAGCTGCCCCAATGGGCTCGGAGATAGGGAGAACAAGATGACTGCAAAATAGATAAGGAAGTTGTTAAGCGGGAAAATGACTGGGAAATAGATAAAGAAGCTGTTAACCGCGATGTAAGAATGTATAAGTCATGGTAACACTGGGCAGTGGCACTGGGAATGGGTGGTGGGGGGGAATTTGTTCTCCAGAATGGAAATAATCTTTGATTTCCTCTCACCTTCAACGGATGTGCACCTGTCAAGTTATATAACTTGAGGTCTTGAATGTGCACTTGTCAAGTCATATAACTTGAGAAAGTGCTGTGTTACCTGTCAAGTTCAGCCCAGCTGCTCCCGAGTTTCTTGGTGTGGCCTTCTTACAAAAGCTTGATTTTGATTTTGATTTTGATCAAGTATATTACAACTCTCCCTAGTCAGCTTTTTGTAAGGAGAATATAATAATATTTACAGCACAGCTGCACAGAAACATAATAAGTGGTTTTAGAATGTTTTGAGGTTCTCAGATGAAAGACAAAATAAATTCAAAGCATTACTTCCTTTCCTTTAAACTTCTGTTTACCATAATAAAATCCAAACTACCAAAGCACAAAAAGGATTGTGGTACCAGTTCCTAAAAAATGTTGTGCCATAGTTGGGAGTTAGAGTTTTGCTAAGCAATTGAATGTTTCTTTTATGGAGTCAGCAGGTTCTTTTAATCACACAGAGCCTGGAAAACAACCATGTGTCTGAGAAAGAAATTGATCTTCCATCATCATCATGATTATTGTCCATGACAAATATTAAAAATTTACTCAATACTAAGAAGTATGCTAGGATCTGAGGCTACAAGAATGTGTATAATTGTTTATTTCAAGAAGTAAAATCTGTCTAGAGAGATAGGATATATGCAAGAAAGTATAGCTAATGATAAATAGCAAATAGTTGTTGCAAACAACTGGTAATTTAAGTTTGAGGTGACCAGTAAAAGCATCAAATTACACTCAACTTTCAGGAACAGAAAATAAACAAGTCAAGGGAAAAGGCAGAGGGCATTTCAAATGCAAAGACCAGTATCTCTCAAATCTCCCTAGGAGATTGTTTAAAATGTACTGTATATTCATGGATAATGCCCCCACAGATTCTGATTCAGTGTATTTGGATAGGGCCTAAGTGCCTATATAAAAATATCTATTGATTATGAGGTGGCCATAATCTTGCTGCTCAAAGTGCAATGACAGGGCCAGTGTATTGGTATCTTCTGGGAGTTTATTAAGAAATACAGAATTTCAGACCTTAAACCAGTTCTACTGAATCAGAGTCTACAATTTTACAAGATCCAATGATGATTTATATTTAAATTTTAGAAGTAGTAGCTTTTATAAGACAATTCTTATTCAATCCTGCAATATACAACCAGATCAACAGAATATTTAAGAAATGGAATCACGTGGGGCAGATGTAGAAAATAGGAGAAATACAAGCTTTAATTTGATACCAGAGTCAGCTAACCTTCACTTTTATCAGTAAGATCATTACAGACATTAACTGGTTACCAGAAATCTTGTCCAGCAGATTAAACTTACTGTTTAGGCATTGATGAGTAACCCAGGCCATTGATGGGTAACCCAAAACTCATCAAATCTAGGAACAATGTCAAAGTGTTTCCAGAAGGGGGAGTATAGTAGTTTCTCTAATCTGGAAAAGTTCAGAAACTTTCATTTCTGTTGGAATTTGCCTTTGGCATCATGTATTTTTATTTCCTAAGTCTGTCAACCCTAACTACGGTTATGAAAGAGAATATTCCCCTTGGTTCTCAGAACAGAAATATCTTCTGAAGAATGCATTGTTAGGCAATATCATCATTGTGTGAAAATCAAAGGCTACAACATCACTGTGTGATGAAATCTTAAGGGACTACCATCGTATGTGCAATCTACCTTTGATTCAAACATTGTTATATAATGCATGATGATTGTATAATTAATAAGTATGTAATACATATAACATTATCATATATAGTTATGATATTGTATATTGTGTTAGCGTTCTGTTACTCTGACAAAATACCTCAGATAGAAAAAAACTTCATAAGAGGAAAGACTTATTTTGATTCATAGTTTCAGAGGCTTCAGTCCATGGTTGGTTGGCCCCATTATTTTGGGGCCTATGATGAGGCAGCATATCAGGGCAGGAAGCACTGGTAAAGCAAAGCTTCTGAGAATGGTGGCCTGGAAATAAGAGAGATAGGAAGAAACCAGGGCTTAAGTACCTATATAAAATTATCTATGGACTGTGAGGTGGCCATAATCTTGCAGCTCAAAGTGTGACCAATGTATTGGCATCCTCTGGAAGTTTATTAAGAAATACAGAATTTAAAACCTTAAACCAGTTCTACTGAATCAGAATCTACATTTTTACAAGATCCCCTTCAAGGGTACATCTCCAATGACCTAACTTCCTTTTACCATTTCAAAAGGATTCCACCACCTCCCAATAGTGTGACAGGGTGAGGATCAATATTTCAAGTATAGGCACCCATTTGGAGAAACATTTAAGACCCAAACTATAGCATGGTGTTTATACATCATATGTTGATATATATGATCCAAAAACATGTAATGGACTTAATATTTTGGACTCACTCCCTCATGGTTCAGAAAAATAATATCACATGCCTATATATATTTATTTATATTTATTATATAATAGAATTACATGAGGAGTAAATGATAAAGCAAACAGGGAGAAATGTTAGCAATAGGTGAACCTGGGTATAGTATATAGGTATTTTTTGTATCTTTTTCTTTTTTCTAACTTTAAAATTATTTTCTAATAAAAAAGTATAAAAGAAAAACCTCAATTATGCATTTCTTGATTGTTTTTAAAAATTGAATTCTAAGACTTGATGCCCTCATTCTGTGAGGGTAGCAAGAGATTAAATTTTTATTTAAGGTTCTTCCAGCTTTATATGGTACAGGGGGAAACACCAAGAGTGTACAGCCCTAGCTCATCAAGTTTCCTGCTAACATCTGCATTGTCTAGGGCCATACTGGTCACTGACACTGCAAGTCTGACAGCTTTCTCCTTACATAATATTCGTAAGCAATCACCAGGAAACTTGACTGAGGCTCTGAATCTGAAAGCCTCTGTCTAGGTTTATCATACAGCCATCCCCTCCAAAATCCTGCCAATTCCTTGAAGGGCTGCCACCAAGAAGAACTCAAGGACTATATCATCTTCCTATTTTAAGAAATAGGAAGAAATTTATCATTTTACTCTGTGATTTCTCTTTTAAAAGAAGTATTTTCTTGTTGCTCATAAAGATACTTGTCATAAACATTAGTGAGTTCTTTATTTAAAAAGAGAAAGAGTGTCAGAAAAGGAAGTACCTTGAAGCAACTCAACTTTTAGCCCTAATACAAATAACCTCCTCTTAGGCAAGGAGATACAACATCAACAAATAAAAAGGTAGTTACCTTTGTGTAAGGAAGAAAGGATACAGAACACAACCATGATTACAATAAAGTGAAGAACCCAGGTGCAAAATGCAAATAGACATTTACTCTCAGGTTTGCAGTACAGAGTTGTTACCCTAGAGTGAGTATCTCATTACATTTTCAGTAGCTTTACTTACATAAATCATGTATCATATAATCTATCTATTTAAAGTGTACAATTCAGGGTTGGGGTTGTGGCTCAGTGGTAGAGCACTCACCTAACACGTGCCCAGCACAGGGTTCAAGCCTTGTCACCACATAAAAATAAATAAATTAAATAAAGGTACTATGTCCAACTACAACTACAAAAACTATTAAAAAATAAAGTGTACAATTTATTGGGTTTGTATTATATCCACAGATATGAATAAACGTTATCATAGTCAATTTTTTTGAAAGTATTTTTGTATCTATTATGTCATGTGATATTTACAGTAGTCTTTTTCTTTTTTTAGAGAGAGAGAGAATTTTAATGTTTATTTTTTAGTTTTCGGCAGACACAACATCTTTGTTTGTATGTGGTGCTGAGGATCGAACCCGGGCCGCAAGCATGCCAGGCGAGCGCTACCGCTTGAACCACATCCCCAGCCCCCTATAGTCAATTTTAAAACATTGTCATCACCTTAAAAAGAAAACTGCCTTTAGCTATTAGCTTCATGTGAGTTTCTCCACCTCTGTGACTAAGCAGCCTCTAATCTTTCTTTCTCTGTAGTTTGCCTTTTCTAAACATCGGAATGGAATTATATAATATATGGTATTTGTGACAGGATTCTTTTAAGTAGTATAAAGTTTGCAAGGTTCATCTCTATTGTAGCATGTATTAGTACTTCATTCTTCTTTTTTTTTTTTTTTTACTGCTGAATAACATTCCAATGGATGGATATACCAAATGTTGATTCATCTGTTGATGCATCTTTGGTAATTTCTGCCATTTGGCTATTATGAATAATGTTACTACAAAGATTCATGAAAAAAAAT